CCATCGCACCTTCTCGACGGGTCTGCGCGGGCGACCGGACCGGCGTTCCCCGCGGTCGTGCAGCGGTTTGTGGTTCCAGCAGCGCTCGTACTGCGACTGCGACGGCAGTGACGACGACGACGACGATGGTGATGATGGTGATGGTGATGCATCCGCAATTCGTGACAGCGCGGCAACCTGCGCAGGCACGCCTGTTAGGTTGTGGTGTGTTGGGTTGAAGGGTGTGAGTGTGCGTGTGTGCGTATGAATGAGTGTGACTGTGAGCGTGAGTTGTGTTGTGGTAGCACTCAGAGCGAAGGATATGACTGTCAATACCACAGTGTGTTGGCATCACACCCTGCCACCTCTCCCCGCTCGGCATCTCCCCCTGCTCATGTCCTCACTCAATGTTGCACGCGCGCTTTCGACCTGGCAAAGACGGGAAGAGAGAGCTGCGGCGGCGAGGACGACGGCGCGTCGAGGGAGCACCACCATCACCACCATCACCACCATCATGGGCACCGCTGTTGATGCGCTGAAGGGTGTAAGTAAGGGAGATTCAAGGCGGGACAGGAACAGAGAGATGCATGTCAAAGAATGCGCACATGAAACATTCAACAAGGGCTAGGGTTCGGCCATGTCATTCCAACACAGCAAGACACCACCAACTACTTCAAACAAGACACCACCAACACATACCCAACACATGAACACATCCAACACAGCAAGACACCACCAACACCGACACCACCTCAAACAAGACACCACCAACACCACCAGCATACCTGCGTGGTGGATGGCGGGGCGGATGCCATGGTGGAGAAGAGGGTGGGGCACGACGCACGCCGCCTCAAACGCGCCCGTGCAGTCGGGTAGCCGTGGCGCTGCGTGAATGGCTGCGACTGCGCCATGGAACCCCGACGATGCGCAAAGTGGCCTGAGCTTTGGCGGGACCCAAACGCGTCCCTTTCTTCGTCCATATCCATATCCATCGCCGCGCCCTCACCTTCGTCATACAGACTGTCCAACGCCTGGCCCTTGTTGCCTATAGAGAGCGATGACAGCGATGACACGAGGCCACCGGCCACAGATGCGCGTCGCGTGAGCATTGACTGCCGCCGCCGCACTGCCGTTGGCTGCCACCGCTTTTCGCTGCCGGGTGTCGTGGATGACGCGATGGACACGGTTGAGGAAGGTCGCGTCGTGCGCGACGGGGCGCCACGCCGTGCACCGGGAGCACTTGGCTGGCGAGCAGGGAACCCACCCAAGCTTGCGCTGCCGTGGCGGCGGCCGTGGTGCTGATCATCCGTGGCCCTGCTTAGCTTGGGACCCGCGCTGTCTCCCACGCGGACCGGCGCTGGCACGCGCCTGCCTCCTGCACTGCCAAAGTGGTGCTGTTGCCGCCGTGTTGTTGGTGGTGATGGTGGGGACGGCAATGACATGGGTGATGGCGATGGCGGCGGCGAAAGGGACGTCTGTGATGAGGTTGGGGTCAGGACAGCGCCAAAGGCGGTGCTGCTTGTCGCTGACTCGATGGGTGGCAGCAGCGGCACTGCAGAGCTGTGGTGTGGTAGCTGTCCCCTCATCGCGGCTGTGGCTGTGGCTGTGGCTGTTGTGGAAGTGCTCGCAAGGACTGCCTCTTCGCTGTCGCCAATTGGTGGCGCAATGGCTTCTGCGCCCATGCTCGAGGTTGTTGCTGTCGTCATTGTTCTCCCTGGCTGTGCGCGCTCGCTTTGCTTAGGAGCGCGCGTTGTCGGCTGCCGTCCTCCTCCTCTTCTTCTATCCCTCAGAAGTGACACTTTCCCCAACAACACGGGAGGGGGTATCTTGTTTGTTCAAGAATGGGTCACAGAGGAGGTCCCGAGGTGTTTGGCACTTTGATGTGACGACGTGAGCTGTGTGTGCTGGGTGCTGTTGTACTCCTTCTTCTCCTGCGTGTCAGGCTTGCACACCCTAACACAACAAACAATGAACAAAGCGAACACCAGAGCAAGCCGATCGCTTGCGTGTCAGGGCGTCGTCACCAGGGCCACACGCCGCACACCCCAACACAACAACAGCCAGCGCGCAAAACAACAACAGCACTGCAGCGTCCGCTAAATGCGGCAGTGCAAAGGCAGAATTGACTTTGGCAGACAAAAAGGCAGCAAAGTCATTTTCGACTTGCTTGTGCTTCCTCCAAACACAACACAGCAGCGGAGCAGATGATGGGGATGACACGCTTGTTGTTACTGGCAGTGGTTGCGCTCGCCGCACAGGCGGCAGCAGCAGCGGCGGCAGCGGAAGGGAGGACGATGGTGTTTGGTGGTGTTGGGGAGAAGAGTGTGGGACCCCCAGCACGGTACTTTACCCAGTGGCAGGATCACTTTGACGGCACAAACGTCAACACTTGGCAGCAGGCCTACTATGTGAACGACACGTTCTGGAAGGGCGATGCCAACGCGCCCGTGTTCCTGTGCGTCGGCGGCGAGGGCCCGCCCATCGACGGCAGCGTCGTCGTCTCCAGCGTGCACTGCAACGGCGCAGTGGAGATGCTGCCGGAGACGGGCGCCATCATGTTTGCCGTGGAGCACCGCTACTACGGCTGCCACAACATGAGCGCGTGCCCCGTGACCTCCTTCCTCAAGCCAAAGGATGCCCTACGCTTCCTGTCGAGCCGGCAGGCGCTGGCGGACCTTGCGGGCTTTCACGCCTATGCCACGGCCACATATGGGCTCAAGCCAACCAACAAGTGGGTCTCCTTTGGCGGCAGCTACCCGGGCATGCTGGCTGGGTGGTTCCGGCTCAAGTTCCCGCACCTCGTGCACGCGTCCGTGGCCTCGTCTGCGCCCGTGCAGGCCATCGTGGACATGGTTGGCTACAACGACGTGGTTGCCGAGGCGTACGCCGTGTCCAACAACAACGTCGGTGGAAGCCCCGCCTGCCGCAAGGCCATTGCGGACGGGCACGCCATGATCGGCCAGATGTTCAGCAGCGACAGCGGGCGCACGCGGCTGGCTAACCTGTTTGGGCACAACGCCAAGTGGTACGAGAACAAGCTCAACCAGGCCAGCTTTGCCGGGTTTGGCGTCGCCTACTTCCCAGCGCAGGGCAACGACCCCGCGTGCACAGACCCGGCGTGCAACATTGGCCGCATCTGTGCGGTTATGACCAACACGAGCCTTGGCGATGAGGTATCGCGTCTTGCCGCCATCCGCAACATGCAGGACGAGTGGCTTTCGCAGCCGTTTGAGACCGTCAACCGGAAGCACTCGCTGATGCACGCCGCAGGCAACGACGCCGAGCTGCCAGACTTCTGGAGCTGGCAGGTGTGCACGGAGTTTGGGTTCTTCCAGACGTGCGAGGTGGGCAGCAAGTGCTTCTTCACGCAGGGATATGACACGCTGCAGTCGCAGATGGAGTTTTGCAGCGCCGTGTTTGGCATTCCCGCCACAAAGGTGCGGCAGAACATTGCGGACAGCAACCTGTATTATGGTGGGCGCAACTCTGGCGGGTCGTGTCTCATCTACCCGAACGGCGAGGTCGATCCTTGGCACGCGCAGTCCATCCTCAACTCCACCAACCCCAACGTCAAGGTGTGTGTTGTGTTTGTGTTTGTGTTTGTGTTGTGTTGTGTTGTGTTTGTGTTGTGTTTGTGTTGTGTTGTGTTTGTGTTGTGTTGTGCTGTGTTGTGCTGTGTTTGTGTAAGTGAGTGTGTGAGTGTTGTGTTGTGTTGTGTGTGTTGTGTTGTGTTTGTGTTGTTTGTGTTGTGTTGTGTTGTGTGTGCATGTGAGTGAGTGAGTGTGTGTTTGTGTTGTGTTGTGTTGTGTTTGTGTCTGTGTTGTGCCACACCTTCGAGTGGGCACGACTTTCATTGCTTGACTCCGCTGCCATGTCTTACCACCATTGTTCGTCTCACCACCCTTGCTTCCACACACCAACGATTCACACGCTCCCTCCTCCTTGCACGTATCAAACCAGACACTGTGGGTGCCCGGCGCGTCGCATCACGCATGGACGCACCCGTCTCTGCCGACCGACCAGCCCTCTGTTGTCGCCGCTCGTAAGGCCATCCGCGACTACGTCACCTCCACCCTCAACCAGGAGTGCTGAGGCGCTCACGTGTGTGTTGTGCTTGTGTGTTGTGTTGTCCTGTATGTACGTGTGTGTGTGTGAGTGTGCATGTGTGTCGTGCTCTGTGCACGAGTGAATACACACAACATGAAGCAAGTGGAAAGAACAACGTCTGCCACACACAGCATTCATCTTGTTTTGTGCTGTCGCGAAACACCACTCCATATCCGCCGCTGCAACGGTTGGTTGTCTTTCCCCAACAAAACCACGCAGGCGCAGGCACAAGCACACACGAACACACAGAGACACGGACAATGGCGATGGTGGATGCGTCGCTTGAGGTGGAGCAGTTGATTGACAAGCGGGCTGCCAACCCACACATCTCGAACGACAACTTTGTGGAGGTGCCGGAGGATGTGGAGGAGCCCGTGTGGAAGTATGAGCTGCTCAGGTTGGTCACAGCCTTTTGTGTGTGTGTGTGTGTGTGTGTGTGTGTGTGTGTGTGTGTGTGTGTGTGTGTATCTGTGTGTGTGTGTGTGTGTGTGTGTGTGTGTGTGTGTGTGTGTGTATCTGTGTGTGTGTGTGTCTGTCTGTCTGTCTGTCTGTGTCTGTGTGTGTATCTGTGTGTGTATCTGTGTGTGTGTGTGTGAGTAAGCAAGCTAACAAGCAAGGGGGACGTCTCCTGCACTCATGCACCGGAACACACGCATACGCTCTCCCACGCACACACACACACATGCAGGTACTTCACGGTGCAGTTGAGCGATCTGGCGGTGCAGCTGTCGGAAGAGTGCTCTGCAGACACATGTCCCGATATGCGTGCATCGGAAGAGTGGCAGTTCCTGTGTGCGTGCCACTCGACGCCTCAGGAGTGCTCCGCCATCTCCTACATGATGCACAACCTCCAGCAAGCCGAGAACACCCTCGCAGGCGAGCGCTTCTTCGAGTCCAGGTTTGTGTGTGTGTGT